AAGAATTATTTATAAACTTGCCCAAGAGTCAAGCAAAGTCCTATGGGTAACGGCATGTTCTCAGCTTTGATGTATTTTACCGTAACGACTAGAATGCTCTGTCGATCCATGCGACACACCGGGAACGTATGTTCATTTACAACATCGGTACTGGTAAATTCGCGACCATGCGAAGAAATTCTAGACAAAATTTTTATGAAAAAAAAGTGAAAAAAATTCACTCCCAAATCGAGATTACATACCTGTACGTACAACAGACGCCATCAGGCAAATGACCGTTTAACGTGGAAATCCAAGAATTTAGTTGCGAAAAATGTAAATGAGATCTTATCGCGTTCTTCAAGAACAAAGGGGCAAGACCCTAAAATGAAAGCTTTAAAGCATGAATAGTCCGAACAGCGAGTGCAATAGTACTGTTTGCTGTGAGTCCCACTCCCTTCGAATTCCCCATAGCTCTATCGGGACTGCTCGCATGCAATTTTCTCCGCATGACGAATGAGCGATAATTGTCTAAAACGTTAGTCTTTAGATGATTTTGAGCAAAACAGCGATTACACATGATTGGATGTAAACCTCAATGTTTTCTCTAATTATCACAAAAGCTACTTTTTTAAACGTCTCTTGATATGGTACACCTTGTTGCCTAGAATTCTGTACATTTACCAGTATCAAAAATTTATCTACAGAAATATCAGCTTAAGAATCAAACACGTCTCTTTGTCGTAGATTCTACCAAAGAAATATAGGTGCAGAGATGGTATAGTATATCAATCGTAAATGTTGAAAAGTGTAACATTCAAAAACCACATTTCAATAATTTTTGTTATTAGACCCGAGATTTGAACAAAGCACATCCTACTTTATACACAAGTCAATTAACAATTTTATAGTTGATTACTTCCTCGGGACGGAAGAAGTCTCTTGTGATTTGCTGGAAAACAGAATATTTAAAATTACCACGAGCTGAGTCTCGCGGGCTGGTGCACGCAGATTCTGATCCATCAAAAGGGTGAAAGTTTTTTTAGTCAAGTTGTTATTCTACTTTTTCAAACGTACGATTGCATACCAGTGCTGCAAACTACTCAGCAAGCTGATTTCGCGCCCTGGTACCGGTACTGCACACCAGCAGCACAATTTTGCAAACCCTTTGAGTTATTTGCATTTTCGTGTTGCAAGGTTGCCGATATACGTTTTCGTATCGGAAAAAAACATAAGTATGTGAAACTATGCTGATTAAACACAGGTCTAGATTATCAATTGTTGATCGATCTGATAACCGAACTTTCAAAGTAACCATGAAATATTCAAAAATTCATAATTTGGTAAAAATAAGGCATTCATGCCATTCAAAAGAAGAGAACTTTTAGAGTGCAAAAAAGGAGTTGGGCAACAAGCGTATAAGTTTTGAAAATGAGATATCTTCAAAATGAACACAGTTTTCAAAAATTCATAATTCGGCAAAGATGTCGATGAACGTGGCGTTTAAGATGTCATTCGAAAAAGGAAATCTTTCTTAAGAGTGCAAAAATAGTAGAGCTTCGTAAAATCTGTGAGCGATTTTTTAGAACTCAAAGAAAAAATGCCGCATTGCGCTCATCTATACCAGCCAAAATAGAAAACCTTCTTCTCTACCTGGGTACAAAGTGTATCACGGATTTTAAGGCAAATGAAAGACGGGGGAGGCGGATAAAGATTAGGTCAAAAAAGGACAGCCACAGGCCGGCTAGGGGAAGGCCTCGGTAGCAACGTTTCAATGTCTCTCCTCTATAACTTTTCGAGAAATATTGAGTATTCCATATTGTATCTATGTTGAACATTTGCTTAGATAGTTTACGTCAACGTTTGAGCTATTATGCTGAGCACAAACATAACTGCAATTCCCAAATAAGAATTTTCCTGTCAAGTGACTTTATTTCCAAGATTTCTTTCTGACATCAATGCACTTACTCCGGTGCATTCTCAGTTTAACAGCGCGAAAAACTAACTTACACTCAACAGCTGCTTCTTTTTACTACATCCTCAAATTCTACTCTTTGCTTATTGAACAGATGCATACAATGCTGTACAAAAGAAGACATCAACAGCTATCGTTTTATGAACTCCAAATTTTTTGAAAGGGCTACATACGAGTAGATGGCTGACCTCGATGTAAACGCAATTCGGCTGTGCAATGTCGATCGGCCGCGCACTTTCTGTACTCTTATTTGTGCCGATGGTAGCTCGAGCGGCTGCGATGAGTTGCACAATTTCTGCGGTCAACAAGTCGCTCATGCTTCTTCACCGAATACACAATACCCGTAAGAATATGGAGCTCTTAAGTAGAGCTCTCTAAATAGTCATCGGCTTCCAATTATCCGGCACCATCGTCCTGACTATCGCAAACTTCTTCTGAAAAAATATTATCCGAAAACGCATGTAAAGTGTAAACAACAGGGCGACGACGTCAAGAACAAGGAAACAAGCATCCACGCAAAACACTGACCGATTGTGTTTTCAACGAATCCACAACTGCGTCAATAATTAAAGCAGGCTGGCGTGGCGCGAGAAACCGGCGCATTGAAGATTAAGAGAGATGAGGAAGGAAAGAAAAGGATATACGGGAGAAAAAAGTCATTAAATCGACACAAAATGGAGTTCGAAAAGATTCCACGATGAACAAAGTTAAAACGCGGGAGGAAACAGCGAACACCTTAACAAATGACGAGATCATTACATCGACACAGCTATCTCTACTACTCGGTGATGACAGCAAGTAGGAACGGGTTGATCGATCAAGAAACTGTGAAATAAAGTGTTTGAAAAGAAAAGTACGCATGTGACAGTATTCAACGATTGACAAAACAACAACAAACGAGAATTTGTGTTAAGACTGGCAAATCAAAGCAAGAAGAGTGGTAAACAAGAAAAAAAATTTTGAACTAAAGATCACTTTCGCACTTACCTCTTAACTCGCAGTAGAAAATAAGAAGATTCAAAAATATTATATCATGGAGAAGACGTAGAGTGGAGACAATGTTCAGGCTATGATGAACATACAACGGAGGGAACACAGTGAGAAAGACTCCCACAATTTGTTAAGCCATAAAAATTGCAGTATGTTATAAGCGATTCTCCCACTTATAGACCTATTCTATCGGAATAAAAGAAAATGATTTAAACTTATAATCTACTGTATTCATTTTGTGATTCATAGCGAGTGATATCCTCTATTTTACCGAAGTTTTCCCACAGTTTAAGTGCAGTTGTCACTAAAAACATGAATTAGTTTTTGAAAGACTGCTTTTTGCTGAAGCGTTACGCACAAAAAATGAGCTTCCAAATTTTGTCGTATGAGCCTTCCGAAGTAAAATGTCAAACAAATCAATATTAACTTATCAAATACAATGATCTAAAATTCAAGAAAAAACGGGATTGAAACCGCTGAAACAAAAGATATTTTATAATTGATTCAATGAAATTTTTTT